CTTAAAAAAGTTCACCATCATTGTCAACACGCGCCTGTAATCTTCTCCAGGTGGTCTCCAGAGCACGGAAGCACATTTCTTGTGGTGTTGTTGCAAATTCTAAGAAGTGTTTTTGTAAGCACCCTGTATATACACAGTAGGTTCTCGATTATCCACGTGCAGTTCTCTTAAGCCCAAATTAATAACCTAAAAACAGCTATGCATTGTTATTCTTGGAGATGTTTATTTATAAGTAACACGGTGCTTAAATCGAACAAATATGTTACTCCGGCTAATCCTAAATCCACGTGATCGCCGCTTCAGTAGAGTAGTTGCAATATCTTTACAACGGTGGGGTGGAGTTTGATTGATGTTGATTGGCGTGGCTCTGCTATCATCCACTGAGTGGGCCAAGTCCTCTGTAGGGGAGCAGCAAAGTGTCCTCGCCGAGCTGGCGCATCGATCGGTCGACGTTCATATTCGTTCTAAATGTATACCCCTATATTTGTGGTTTTTGGCATAGAGATCCGCAGAAAATGTTGAAATTGTTGGATTATCCGCGATTTTGAATTATCCACGGCCGTCCTCCCTATCATTGGCGCCAATAATCAAGAGGTATTAATTAAAAATAAAGTAAAATTGGACGTCGGCACACCTTCCCCACTGCACGCAGCCAGCGCGGACTTTGTGGGAGCGATGCTGCCGCCTCTCCCCTCTCCCTCCGCCCTTCCCCCCGCCGTGAGCCGCGGCTCTGTCACCACAACCCCGATCCTTGCGCCGAGGTTTGCAGCGGTTCGTCGCGAGAAAAGCCTCCGCCGTCCGCGAGCCGTCGCTTCCCTCAGACTGCTCAAATCCGCTGCCGAATCTCCCTGTCTGTCGCCACAACCCTGATCCTTGCGCTGAGGTTTGCCGCGGTCTGTCGCAAAGAAAACCTCCGCTAATCGCGAGCTGTCGCTGCTCTTGCTCAAATCCGCTGCCCAATCTCCCTGCCGTGAGCCGCGCTCTGCCGCCAAAACCTCGCTAGACGCGAGTGGCGCAACACGTTGGCAGTCGAAGGCCGTCGCGTCTGCTCTGCCGAGCGCGAGCCACTGCCTGGGGGCTCCATGGTGGCTCGGAGATGTTGACTACCTCGCCTGGTGTGCAGGAGGTCGTGGGTTCGATCCCGATCCTGACGCCCTGCTGTATGTTTGGAGTTTGCGTGTCTCTCCCTCTCTCTTTCCCCGTGGTCGCATGGATTTTTCCTCTGGGTCCCTCTGTTGAAGAGTATTTGGCTGCTATGAATTTCCACGCAGGAAAAATACTTTTTTTATTGAGCTGTCATTTGTGGCCAGGTCGCTCTTCTGAAGAAGAGCGTGGTAACTCAGCGGGGACTTACCTGGTACAAAATAACGAAAAATTGTTTATAGTTTTAGTTGTGCCCAGAGAAGGAACCTTTTTTTATTAAATCGCCACCTTGTTGTGACGTACGAATCGTAAAGCATGGGACGGTAGCGGAGTGAGAAATGGGTCAAAGGTCGAAGAGCGACACAAAAGACAAAGACCCCCTTAACAGACTATTGGGGCAAGGGCTGCTAGGGAGCACCTATGAAGGCCGGCATGGCACATAACAGGGTGGGTGGCCAGCACCACGCTCGGCCGCCTTTGTCTCTCGAGTGGTGATGTTTGCACACCACACCAGGCACTCATTTCAGGCTGAGTCGACCTAGGGGAGGCCTAGGACCAGTTCAGATAATCGTCACTGGTGTTGGCCGTGAGCGGGAATCAAACTCGGGTCACCGGGTTCGTTGCGCAACGTAGCACTAAACGCTTACACTACCGCTCCATGCACGCACACACACTCGCACCCACCCGCACCACGCACGCCACACGCACTCGCACACACACACTCGCACCCACGCACTTGCACGCACACGCACCCACGCACGCACACACACACACACACATCGCACCCACGCACACGCATGCACGGGGGTTCCGCTGACCGTTGAGGAAGAGCGCGTGAATATTCACGGAGTGGAAGCCAGGGGGGGGACACCCTAGAGACACAAATGGTAAACCCACTGTGGTACTGCGCTCCTTCCGCGGAGGAGGAGGAACAACGACACTCTCTCTCTCTCTCGTCGTGGCGCAGCAGCAGCAGCAGCTGGACCTCCACATTGACACCGACATCCTGAACAACCACCACCACCCACCACGCATCGCTGCTGCTGCTGCTGCAGCTGCCATCGTGCGCGAGAATAGAATAGAGGGCATTCAGGCACTGACCCTTGTGCATAGCGTGCTGCAAACGAGGGGGGGGGCAGGGGGATGGGCACGTTTCCCATAACGTCTCTCTCTGTTGTGTAAACCTTAACCCTCCCCGGCGTTATTGACGAACCCTCTGGGCTTTTCGTTGGCCCGCGCCTGTGCCCCGCTGCCAACGTGGCGGCCGCATCGCCGGCCTCGCCGTCGCGATCGCGCCGCACGTACGGGGGAAGCAGAATCAGAGGATCTTCGTCCTGGAGGAATCCCATGAGCCTGTGAAGCTCACTTATTTCAGAGATGTTCCAGTCAGGAGCAGCAGCAGCAGAGAAAGAGAGTGATTCACTTGTGCCCCCCCCTCCCACCGCCCCCACCCCCCAGCCAACGTCGATCCGGCACAGCGATGAATCGTCGTGAGAGACCGGCGAGCCGCCCTTCCTGGCCGCGCCCGCGGGTGAAGGTCCCCACCTCGCGCCGGGAGCACTGCACCCGCTTTTCTCATCTCTCCTCCCGACGTGCAAATAGGCCCCAAGCACACTGCACGTGCCTGATGATTGGCAGTCCGCGGGAATGTCTCGAGGACCGTGGTCGAGCGGCACCGCCGATCTGCTCGCACGGCCCCTGCGCGTTGCCGTGGGGCCTCTGCCGCTCGTTGCTCACTCCCTCGCAGCTGAGCTCCACCTCCTCGATCATCACCACCACCATCAGCATCATCATCACCACCATCAACATCATCATCACCACCACCATCAGCATCATCATCACCACCCATCAACATCATCATCACCACCACCATCATCACCACCATCAACATCATCATCACCACCACCATCAGCATCATCATCACCACCATCAGCATCATCATCACCACCACCATCATGACACGCCTCGACCACCACCGTCGCAAGCCTTTGCCACTCGCATCACCTTACCACTATCATCATCATCACCACCGCCACCACCGCCATCATTCACCACCACAGCCTCGACCATCACCGTCGCACGCCTCCCACCACCATGGCAAGCCTCCATCAACACCACCGCCGCCGCTGCTGGCAAGGGGGGGTCTGTTATGAGGGGGGTGCGGGTCTACGAGACCTGCAGCAGTTCGTTGGCAGCGACTGCTCCCGCTGTTGCATTGAGGCACTGGCTTAGGAGACGGACTTTGCGGGGGGGGGGGGGGGGGTGCTTGGACAGGGGACTTGTGTGTGCGTGCGTGTGTGTGCGTGTGTGGTGTGTGCGTGCCTTCATAGGTGCTCGCAAACAGCACTTGCCCCTAAAGTCTGTTAAGACTATATGGGGGGTCTTTGTTGTGTGTGCGTGTGTGTGCGCGTGTTAGGAACCCGATGACCCGAGTTCGATTCCCGCTCACGGCCAAGACCAGTGACGATTAGCTAAAGCGGTCCTGGGCCTTCCCTAGGTCGAGTCAGTTTCAAATGAGTACCTGGTGCGGTGTGTAAACATCGCAACTGGGAAAACAAAGGCGGCCGGGCGTAGTGCTGGCTACGCACTCCCTCCTGTGCCACAGTGCCGACCTTCATCGGTGCTACTTGCGAACGGCACTTAGCCCAACAGTTTGTTTGAGTCTACAACGAGGGATCTTCGTCTTGTGTGTGTGTGTGTGCGCGCGTGTGTGTGCACGCATGAGTGTGCGCGCATGTGTGTGTGCGTGAGTGTGTGTGCTGCGTGTGTGCGTGCATTTAACCCGATCCTGGTCCGATGACGTGTGCGTAGGTCATCGGTTTTTCTTCCGATTCCATTCTGATGACGTGTGTGTGTGTTTAGAGTTCATAGTCGTACCCTCGTCTGTCTCGCCACCGTGTCCCTCTCCCCCCCGCCCACCTCTCTCTCTCTCTCTGACCCCGTCCTGGACGACTCCCCCCGTGGCCCCGCAGGATAGTGCTGATCAGCGCCAAGCGATCGTTTCTGCACCGTCTTCTCGGTGCTGCCATACCGCGATGGGCACGCACCTGGGGTGAGCCGCCACGCCGCCACGCCGCCACGCCGCCACGCTCGCCGCTCCAGCCAGGAGCCGGGAGCGGGGAGCCCACAACAGCACCGCGTGCTCACACTCGCTCTGTACCAGTGTGACCCCCCCCCCCCGCCATCACATTGTGGTCCCTAAACCCACAGCACTTGCACCTGCAAACCCATAACACCATGGTCTATAAACCCCTGACACCAGGGAGTCCAAACCATAACACCATAGTCTATAAACCCATAATTCCTGGGTGTGACATCTCACAGCACCTGGGTCTGTAACCCTGATACCGATGCCTCTTAACTCGTAATCTCTGGGTACGTGTCACCTGGTTCCAGTGATCAATTTCAGCTGGGTCCGACTGATTCGGCGAGCCATGAAGTATTTACACACCCGGCACACCGCAAACGGTAGACCATTGAACGCCTGTGGCGACCTGTCACTTGCTTACTGCAGTCAACCAGCAACTGGGAATTCATATTGTATCACCTAAGCGCAAGATTCTGTATCCGTGTAGCGAGCTGTCAGACTGCCCCGTGCCATATGTATATTGTATATTGAACTTTTTTCGCACCGTACGCAGCCAACCGTTGCTAATCAGAGGTGCGGGGGTGGAAGAACAACAAACTAAACACGAAAAGCAGTTTCAAAGAAATGTGTCTTCAACCCGGGCTTCATAGGCGCCGCTCACTAAAAACACTTGACCCAGCAGTCTGCTTATTCTATACGGTGGGGGGGGACATTTGTCTTGGTGTGTGTGGACGCAGCGAGGTGCGGGCCGAACCCGGGAGGCAGAGGCATGCATCCGGGGGTGTCCCCCACCTCCACGGAGATGGTGATGGGCCTGGAGGGCGTGGAGCTGGGAGCCGATGGCAAGGTATCGATGCTTGTACAGACAAAGATACCCCGTTTAGCCTTAATGGACTTTTGCGGCAGGTGCTGTTAGCGAGTACTTACAACTAAACTACTATAAACTATTTATGTTTTGCCAGGTAAGGCCCCCACTGAGCAATGTAGCTGTTTTTCAGAAGCGATCTGGCCACATATGAGAGCTCAACGAAGTGGCTCATTGATAATTGTTTTTTTTACCCTTTTATCTGGCAACAAAACTGACACCTTTTTTTTTGCATTATACCTGCAGTCATAATGCAAACAAAAAACATAACTGATAACGTATGCACTGTCCTTGAAGTTGATTGGTTTCACACCCGAGACAGATTTCCTTAGAGCCTAGTCTCACATGGTGTTGGACCAGATGACGCCAAAAGGCGCACAACTCTTATTTTGTTATTCTTTGGTTCTTTCGGTAAAGTCACGTATAAAGAAAAAATAATAAATTAAATAATAACATACGACGTTTCGATTGCAACACAAGCAATCATCATCAGGTATAATGAAATAGCGACATAAAATCTAACCAGAAAAAATTATAGACAGACATATAAGCAGACAGATATCACCAAGATACACACAGCGGGCAACACAGGTACAGGGAGGGGTGATCGTCTCTGTGGGGTGGCCTTAAATAGACAGAGGGGGGCGGAGGCAGCCTCCGCCCCCCTCTGTATGTTATTATTTAATTTATTATTTTTTCTTTATACGTGACTTTACCGAAAGAACCAAAGAATAATTCCTGCAGTCACGAAAGCTCCAAAGTTCATATTTTGTTACTGGCAAATGAGGTTCCAATGGTGTAAATGCTTACCCCGAGCTCTCATACTCTGATGGTGCATTGTGCATTGTCTTTGAGTTGTGCGCCTTTTGGCGTCATCTGGTCCAACACCATGTGAGACTAGGCTCTAAGGAAAGCTGTCTCGGGTGTGGACCAGTCAACTTCAAGGACAGTGCATACATTATCAGTTATGTTTTTTGTTTGCATTATGACTGCAGGTATTGTGGTCTATGCAAACATGACTCCTTTTTTAAAAAAAGGTGTCAGTTTTTTGTCTGCCAGATAAAAGGGTAAAAAACAATTATCATATTTTGTTACTGGCAAATGAGGTTCCAATGGTGAAGTGGCTCATTGTGTGAAAATTTATAGCAGCCAAACTCTCTCAACGTGTGATGTTTATTCTAAATGTGGAGTTGCCTGGTTTGTAGCGCAGTACGCTAACCGCTGCGCCACCGCTCCCCATACGCACACTGACAGACACACACACCGCGTTACAACAATGCTCACACGCGCTCGCGCTGGTCATGGTGGTTGTGGTCGTGGTGATGATGATGCTTTTGATAATGGGAGTGTTGGTGTCGGTGAAGATGATTATGTTGATAATGATGGTGATGAAAGTGGTTTTGCCAGTGATGGTCTGGCCAGTATCGATAATGACGGTGGTGAGGATGATGATAATGTATGTACGTTGAACTTCTTTCGCACCATACGTAGCCAACTGTGCTAATTGGAGGTGCGGGGGAAGGGCAACAAACTAAACACAAAGAGCAGTTCTAAAGATAAATTAGTTTTCAAACTAGATGATTTGAAAGTGCATAGCTCCAGTGGCTTCCTAATAGCATTCCAGATGGTCGCAGAAGCACATCTAAAAGCGCGGTGCAATGATGCAGTGACCACCGTCTTTGCCCAGCGGTTAGCCAAAAGCCACCGCCGCTACTGCGAGGATGGCCGGAGTTTGCGCGATGGTTTATACTCTTTGACGAGGTCGGCGAGGTATCGTGGTTCATTTGTGGCAAGAACTTTGTGTGTAATGATGATGATGGTAGAGTTGACGATGCTAGTGGTGGTGATGACGATGATAACAGTGATTATAATGATGGCGAAATTGCTTTTGACAGTGATAGTGGTAATGATGATGATGGTAGAGGTGGCGATGCTGACCATGGTTGTTGTGACATTGGTGATGATGATGAAGATGTCGGTGATCACAGTGATTATTATTATGATGATGGTAAAGTGGGTTTTTGGATTTTTACAGTGGTGGTGTGTATGGTAATTATGGTAGAGGTGATGATCAGGTTTCAGTTTCATGTATTAGGTATAGCCCAGTGAGCCATGTGGCTCTTGACTCGGGTGCAACCGCAACAAACAAAAACATGAACAAGAAACATCTTAAAGTGACTACACGCAACAGAAACATCCAGGAAAAACAGCAAAAGTCTTCCATAAAAAAACACCGAATATCAACGCTGTGTGCTAAAATCCCTGTGGGATGCAAGTCAAACAATACCAACCATAATACAATTTATACTAAAGTTATCACGCTAACTCTGTACTTCAACAAACAAAAAAATATGATGATGGTAGAGGTGGCAGTGATGACAATGGTTGTTGTGAAGATGCTGATGACGACGACGACGGTGGTCTTGAGGATTCGTGACGAGCGTGCCCCCCCCCCCCCCCCCCCGTGTGCGTCGTACAGACCGTCTCGTACGCTCAGTTCCTCTTCCCGACGTTCGCCTTCCTGGGCCGGAGGGGCGATGCGCCGCCGCCACTGCCAGGGGTGGGCGGTGGGGGCAGCAGCTCGGGGCCGCAGCCCCTGCAGCAGCGCAACAGCACGGGCCGCAACCTGGCCCTGTTGCGCCAGGCCACGTTCGAGGGCCTCAAGCCCAGCAGCCCCGCCGCCGTGGAAAGCGGTGCGTCTCAGCGGGGGGCGCGGGGGGGGGGGGCATGGGCGGGGATGGGTGGTACGGGCGGGCGGGGGTGGGCATGGGCGAGGGAAGGGGGAACGGGCAGGAGGGGTTTGCGCGGGGGGGGGCTCTGGCGGGGGGGGGCATGGGCGAAGGGAGGGGGGTTTGGGCGGGGGGGCACGGGCGGGGGGGGGGTCAAAGGGCAGGGTGGTGAAGTCAGGTGACTGCATCAGGAGCAGTGAAGTGTATTGCTGGGATGTCTCTTTTGTATCGCCGTGATGTTTACTTTGTGGATTGGGGCATTGCGTCGTATACATTGTTATGGTCTGTTCTGGATGACCAGTCTCATACTGCTGAATAATTTTTTATTTTACATTTGTGCATCATCAGGTCTATCCGCATCTACTGCTGCCATCGTTTGTGCAGTGGATGCGGTTTAGGGTGGACCATGAGCAGCTTTGTGGAAGACTAAACCCAGGGATCTTCTGCGTTTAGGTCTTTCCTGGGTTAAAAACAAGCGGAATACATAATAGTAATAATAATTCGGAGTATATATTGGCATGGCGCGGCCTGGCTTTGCACCGCTGTGCCCCGTCGGTGTGGGACTCACAGCGAGAGCCGTGTGACCCCCGTGCAGGCCTGGGCCTAGATGCCGTGGAGTTCCTCGAGTACAACCCCAACCTCCTGGAGGACCCGCAGTGGCCGTGCGGGAAGCACAAGCGTGTGCTCATCTTCCCCTCCTACATGGTACGGTCCGATCTCACCTCCTACTTGGTATGGTCCGATCTCATCTCCTACATGGTATGCTCCGATCTCACCTCCTACATGGTACGGTCCGATCTCACCTCCTACATGGTATGGTCCGATCTCACCTCCTACATGGTATGGTCCGATCTCATCTCCTACATGGTATGGTCCCATCTCACCTGCGACATGGTATGGTCCGATCTCACCTCCTACATGGTATGCTCCGATCTCATCTCCTACATGGTATGGTCCGATCTCACCTCCTACATGGTATAGTCCCATCTTACCTATATCGGCAGCATAATGGAACTTCAGAGATACGAACAAACCTGTTCGTATGACCAGTTGCCTGTTCGGACCGAGAGTTGGAAGTTCAAACTCCGTGCAACAGATGGCGGTGATGGCATCTACATCAGCAGAACATGAAGAACCAGTGGCATTTACATCTGCAGAACATGAAGAAACCAGTGGCATCTACATCTGCAGAACATGAAGAACCAGTGGCATCTACATCTACAGAACATGAAGAACCAGTGGCATCTACATCTGCAGAACATGAAGAACTAGTGGCATCTACATCTACAGGAAATTATACAACTTTTAAAGTTATTCCCCATGTTTAGTGTACACGCCATACAACATGTTTGGAATCGACAGGAGTAAAGTTGGACTTACGAACCTCTGGAACCTAACTCATTCGTAAGTAGAGCAGTCCCTGTATAATGTAAGTATTTAACTATAACATGAGAGCTGAGCTTTAGTTAACACCTGGCGATGCTGGATGTCATCTTCACGAAAACGTTTGGCTTGCTTTTCAACATTATCCAGGGTTTTCGCTGATTCAATCAAAATCAATTGGCGAATGTGGCCATTGTCATAACAACTTGATTTGGATCAAGTTGTTTGGGATGGCGGAGGGAACAGCTAACGTTAGACCTCTACGCGATCCAAGCCAAGAGACACTGATGGTGGATCATAATGCCACTAATCAAAGGATGGCACGGTGTTTTTTAATCATTCATTCATCGCGTTCATTGTCACCACCGGCGCCATGATCAATCCACTGCTGGATGAAGGCCACCCCAAGCCATATCGTCGTATTTAGTTTGTTGTCCATACCACCCTCTCCGCCGCTGCACCTCCGATTAGTACGGTTGGCTACGTATGGTGCAAAAGAAGTTCAACGTACGTAACGTACACACCGTCAGCGCACAGTTCTTGACCACCAGTGGGCATAGTCAGGCCATGCAGAGGCCCCTGGAGACCCAGGAGGTGGGTGGAGGGGGGTGCCGCATGCCACGTCGAGGGGTGGGGGAGGGCGGATTATTCATTAATTGTGGGGTCCTCTCCTGCGTGAGACCCAAAGCAAATGACCATAAACTAAAACTATTGATTCTTTTTTATTTATCAATGTAGCTCTTTTTCAGAAGTGACGCTGGCTATATGATAGCTCAATGAAAGTGACTTTTCATCATCATCATCACGTGGAAATTTATAGCACCTGCCAAATACTGTGAACGCGTGATGTTGATTCTAAATGTGGAGGGGAAAAACCGGAAGACCTGGAGAAAAATCGATGCGACCATGGGGAGAAGCGAGGAGAGAGAGACACGCAAACCCCAAATATACAACAGCAGGCGTCAGGGTCGAGATCGAACCCACGACCTCCTGTAGACCAGGCGAGGAAGTCAACATCTCCTAGCCACCGTGATGTTAACCCCCTTGCTCTGGGTCGCCCTGGGCACAGAACCTGCTGTGCGTGTGATCCTGTGACAGTTTTGTCGGTGCCCCCCCCACCCACCGTGTACCCCCACACAGACGACGATCATCGAGTACGTGAAGCCGTCCGACCCTAAAGCGTGACATGAACGACACGTTCCATGAGAAGTTCCCGCACATCAAGCTCACGCTGAGCAAAATCAGGAGGTGAGTCTCACCCCACCTCCCTCCCTCTGCTCCGTCCCTGCCTGTCCTCCCTCACTGCCTCCCTCCAACCCCTCTCCTCCCTCTCTCCATCACTGCTTCCTTCCCTCTCCCTCCCTCTCTCCCATTACCGTTTCCCTCCCCCTCTCCCTCACCTCTGTCCCTTACTTCCCTCTCCTCCCTCCCTGGAGTCTCTCTGGGCTCTCCTGAGGCTCGGGGGGTAAAGGAAGGCCGTTGGTTGTAACGCGGCTCGGCCTCTCGTGACCAACACCACGGCTCGCTCCACTGGGTCTCCGACCGTGCGCGAGTGGGACGCGTATCCCATCCGTGGGCCGCGTCGAGTGGAGGAGGGAGTACGACACAACGTGCTGCTCGCGTTGCGTTGGAAACCCTCTGAAAGCCAAAGCACTTGCCCCAACAGTCTGGTAAAGGCTATACGGGCGAGGTATGCTTGTCTTTGACACGCGTGTGTGTGAGCGGCAGTGCAGCGGTTAGCGCTACGCTGCGCTACGAACCGGGCGACCCGAGTTCGATTCCCGCTCACGGCCAACACCGGTGAATATTATCTAAATTTGTCCTGGGCCTCGCCCTAGGTCGGCTCAGCCTCAAATGAGTACCCGGTGTGGTGTATAACACCGCCGCTCGGGAGACCAAGGCGGCCGGGCGTGGTGCTGGCCACCCACCCCCTCGTGTCCCGTTTCCGGCCTTTCGTAAGTGCTCGCGAGCAGCACTTGCCCCTACAGTCTGCGAAGGCTACACGGGGGATCTTTGCATTATTATGTTTGTTGTGTGCGGCGGTGGCGGCAGCCTGAAGCGCGAGATGCGCAAGATGGCGCTAGAGGAGTGCGCGCTGGAGGAGTCGACGGTGGCCGTGGCGTTCGTCTTCTTCGAGAAGCTCGTGCTGCAGGGCAAGCTCAACAAGCAGAACCGCAAGCTGTGCGCCGGCTCCTGCCTGCTGCTCGCCGCCAAGATCAGCAGCGACCTGCGCAAGCCGGAGGTCAAGAACCTCCTCGACGTGAGGACGCAACGCGTGCATCACAAACATCACCCCCCCACCCACCCCCGTGTAGCCTGTAACAAGATTGTTGGGAGCAAGCGCTGCTAGCGAACAGCGGCACCTAACGAAGGCCGGCACTGTGACACACGAGGGGGTGGGTGGCCAGCACCACGCCCAGTCGCCTTTGTCTCCCCAGTGGAGATGTTTACTACATACCGCCCCCAGGTACTCATTCTAGTACGCTGCCCCCCTCTGCTGCCCCCCTCCGATACCCCCCCTCCGCTCCCCCCCCCCTCCGCTCCCCCTCCACATCCCCTCCACTCCCCCCCCTCTGCTGCCCCCCTCCGCTCCCCCTCCACTCCCCCTCCACTCCGCTGCTCTCTCCCCCCACCCTTTGTGCCACCAGAAACTGGAGGAGCGTTTCCGCGTGAACCGCCGTGAGCTCATTGCGTTTGAGTTCCCTGTGCTGGTGGCCCTCGAGTTCAGCCTCCACCTCCCCGAGCACGAAGTGCTGCCCCACTACCGCCGCCTCGCCAGCCACGCCTGAGCCGCCCGGGGGGGTGGGGGGGGCGGGGGGGCCGCGGGGGACCGGAGTCGCCTCTGCAAGGTGCTGTCCCTCCAGAATCGGAGAATCGGAGTATTTATTATTTATTCTGGAGGAATCCGACGGGCTTTCAAAGCTCTTCTTCCACACGCGCCATTAGGGGCGCGGTGAGGAACGCCGAGGGTGATGCGGAGCCCAGACCCTGCCCCACGGGATGGTGAACCGTGAGTCCCTGTGCAGGCCTGGTGCAGGCCTGCTGCAGGCCTGGTGCAGGCCTGGTACAGGCCGGTGCAGGCCGGTGCAGGCCTGACACGTGTGGGCAGTCCCGGTGAGTTGGTTCGGTTCCTCCGCCCCCGCTCCCCCCGCCGAGTATTTGCAACCGCGGGAAAAGAAAAAAATAAACTAACATTCCTTACCCCGCGGGAAACCAAATCGTTACGCCGTCCATCGTGACCGTCCCGTGTTTGGTCTGCTGCCCGGATGGGCAGGCGCTACAATCCGCCCATGTGAGGGATGCGCGCACCAGCTCCGCCCGTGCATTTTCCACCGCGACGATTCCGGCCTGCCCTCGGTGAACCGACGTGGTCAAACATTCTGGTTAACCGACGTGAACCATTCTGGTGAATTGACGTGGTGAAATATTCTGGTGAACCATTGTGGTGAACCATTCTGGTGAACTGACGTGGTGAAATATTCTGGTGAACCAGTGTGGTGAACCAGTGTAGTGAACCGACGTGAACCAGTGTGGTGAACCAGTGTAGTGAACCGACGTGCTGAACCAATATGGACCGCCGGTGCCAATTGGTGCCGTAGGGTGGTGATGGGGGCTGCTAATCCCACCTTGCCTCCCCCCTCGCCCTGTGTCTGTGTGTTGGCGCCCATCCGCGTGCGTCGCCCGCGGTCACATGGGAGGCACCCCCCCCCAACCCCCCCCCCCCAACCCCCTGACCCACTCCCCCCCCCTCCCACATTCAACCCCACGAGCCCCGCGACCTTGGTCCGATGTACATATCCTGTCGCGGCGCGTTGACGCGTCGCGCTCCCGATGATGATTGTGCGCCCACGCGCACCCCCTGAGTTTACTCGCCAGTGCCAGCTTAGACTCCTACCCGCTAGCCTCGCCCCCCCCAGCCCCGCCCCTCGTGTTCGCTGCTCCCCCCCCCCCCCACACTGACCCCCCCCCCCCACTATCTCATGCAGCAGGCGATCGACGGTTCCGCTCGCATCGTGCATGGGGGTCGTGCACGCACACAGACACGCATCAGCGTTACCAATCCGTGTCTGTGTGTGTACACCGCTAGAGCTACTGGAGCCCGAGGCCAAAAGAAAGTATGCTACTTGCACCGCTGTAGACTCCTGATGCCAGTGTAGAGATCGCTAGTTGTTCCACTTTAGACTCTACTAGAGTCTGATGCCAGTGTAGAGATCGCTAGTTGTGTCACTATAGACTCTACTAGAGTCTGATGCCAGTGTAGAGATCGCTAGTTGTTCCACTTTAGACTCTACTAGAGTCTGATGCCAGTGTAGAGATCGCTAGTTGTGTCACTGTAGACTCTACTAGAGTCTGATGCCAGTGTAGAGATCGCTAGTTGTGTCACTATAGACTCTACTAGAGTCTGATGCCAGTGTAGAGATCGCTAGTTGTGTCACTATAGACTCTACTAGTGTCTGATGCCAGTGTAGAGATCGCTAGTTGTGTCACTACAGACTCTACTAGAGTCTGATGCCAGTGTAGAGATCACTAGTTGTATCACTATAGACTCTACTAGAGTCTGATGCCAGTGTAGAGATCGCTAGTTGTGTCACTGTAGACTCTACTAGAGTCTGATGCCAGTGTAGAGATCACTAGTTGTATCACTATAGACTCTACTAGAGTCTGATGCCAGTGTAGAGATCGCTAGTTGTGTCACTATAGACTCTACTAGAGTCTGATGCCAGTGTAGAGATCACTAGTTGTCACTATAGACTCTGCTAGAGTCTGATGCCAGTGTAGAGATCGCTAGTTGTGTCACTATAGACTCTACTAGTGTCTGATGCCAGCGTAAAGATCGCTAGTTGCACCCGCAAGGCCCTCGTGACTTGATTTATGACTCGGGACGGTGCAATGGGCCACAGGTGCTGCCACCGTGGTCTTACGGGAAGCAGCCCGATGGCCCTCTTCGTGAAATGTGAGAGTTTTGGGAAAAAAATTAATGACCATAATAATTAATGTTGCAAACAAACTCCTTCATGCATTCACTTGGGGCTGAGCTGCCAGGATCCTCGGGGATGTGGGGCCAAAGTGCCGCTTCCTTCCCGGCTTTGGGATTCGACCTGGCCAACAGCAGCAGCGTGCTTTAGCTAACAAACCTGGCCAGTAGTTTACACTTTAGTGAACACCCCTGGTGCATACAGCATGCTTTAGTGAACACACTTGGCCAGTATATTACACTCAAGCTAACAAACCTGGCCAGTACAGCATGCTTTAGCTAACACATCTGGCCGGTAGTTTACACTATAGCTAATAGACCTGGTGCATACAGCATATTCTAGCTAACACACTTGGCCAATATCATTCGCTTCAGCTAACAAACCTGGCCAGCGCAAACTTACGTTTAGCTAACGCACCTGCAAAGTATAATACACATTAGCTCACACAGCCGGCGCGTACCGCATGCATTAGCTAGCACAAGCGGTGTGTACCGCATGCATTAGCTAGCACGACCCGGTGCGTACCGCATGCTCCAGACCACGCACTGCAATGCAGCGCAGTGTTGTGAACGGAACTCTGGCTGGGCCTCCATAATAATTGGGAATGCTTTAAGCCTGAGCCTTGGCTTTGCGCCCTATCTTGTGCTCGCGTGTTTTTTTGCGTGCAATTTAGTGCAATTAGTTAACGTGTTGCCAATTGCAGACGGTTGGAATATATAATATATACGAATGGCGGCGCTCTGTATGTACACGCCCTGACAATGAAATTAATGTGAACAATAGGAATGGGTTTAATTATATATAAGAATCAGATCTATATATAAGTATATTACAAGTTTTATATGTATAGAGAGAGTATATAAGTATGCGATGCATCTCAATTTTGACTGGAGCAGGTGGAGCTAGCAGAGGGCGCTGTCGCGTCGTCTCCGCTACGCTTTGTACGGCGCAGCGATGTCCGACATTTCGGTGCACGCGCCGGGAGCATTCTTCGGTAACCGAACGGCGCTTCCCCGATGTTCAGTTCATTGCGTGGGACGAACCCCCCCCCCCCTCGTCCCTGCCCCCACCCCGCGGAAGACACGCGGGAGAATCGTAGAATCGTCCGTGCGGCTTGGGCCGTGTGACGTGGTCCACACACGTGGCGACCGGAGGTGGCGGGGGCAGCGTGGACGCGAGGGGGTTGGCTCGCAATCGACGCTCGCCCCCAACCCCGCCGCCCTCCGGTCGTCGTCGTCCAATCGCTCGCGCCGCCGTCAGAAAGCCGAACGTGCCGGCAGTTCGTCGTTGTATTCCTCATCGCACGTACGGACAAGCGCACGGCCAGAGTATTTTTTTGCGGAATTTTCCAGTCCCCAGGATTTTATGCCTTGATCAGAAGTTTAATGACGTCGAATTTGTAACACACATAGTCTCCGTTGACTCTATCTCTCTCTATCTCGAGAGAGAGAGCGATAGAGAGAGATAGAGAGAGAAAGAGAGACTTGACTTTTAAACCACTTTTATTGTTGCCAGCAGCAATAGCACGGGAGCTGATTTCAGTACAAAAACACATGGAAATACAGCTTCAAGTGTGCACGTTACAACAAAACACGACTCGCGGAACATGCGCTGCACTCGCCAAGCACGACACAAACAGCACATCGTCGCGCATGCCATGCTGAGGTGATGCGTAGAGTCGTCTCTCCTCCGATTACTTCGAAAAGGCCGTTGCAGGAAATGTTTGAGGTCGTAGTGCGTCCACTCGAAGCTCCGCCACGTGTCCAAAAGGCTCTGGTAATAACCTGGCAGCCACGTGTAGTCGACCAGGCCCAAGTCTAACAGGAAGAGCTCCTTTCCCCTACCCCCAGGCACCCCCCTGCGTCTCTCAGCAGGGTGAGGACCGGCGACTTCCAGGGTAGTTCCTCCCTTTCGTACAGCAGCCGCCTCACGGCCATAAGCCTGCAACTCATCACCCTGGCGGCGACGTCCACCAGGACCTGGCTACCCTCGCCCACCGGCCTCAGCCAGTGCTTGCTGTGCCAGACTAAGTGCGCGAGTGAGCAGTTAATTCTGGTGAGTAACCAGGCCGGAGGCTGGAGGGCTTTGGCCTTGTGGCACAGCAAATATGCTGGCAAGTTATTAGCGACGAGCACTCCACCCCTAAAGGATATCTGCGGAGTGAGGCACGCCCATGCCAGCATTTTAGCCTCGATCACGTCGGCCAGCTCGGTCCAATTGTTCTAAGCGATGTGTGGTTTCCCCAGGTAGACCCCCAGGTACTTGATTCCGTCAGCCTGCCAACTGATTCCTCCTGGAGGAGCACAGAACGCACGCGGCAACGCGACCCCAACATAGAGCCTCATGCTTGGCCCAGTTGACCCTGGCAGAGGAGGCCTTCTCGTACACTACCACCGGCAAACATAGCGCGGAGGCGTCCTGTGCATCATTGACCACGATGCATATGTTGTCCCCGCGTACATCTTGAGCCCGAGGACTGCATTCTCAGATCCTGGGACCTTGAGGCCAGACACATTTTGTCTCAGGTGGCATAGGAGTGGCTCAATAGACACGGTGTACAGCAGCCCTGAAAGAGGGCATCCCTGTCTGACCCCCCTCGTCATGGGAAAAGGGGCGCCGAGCCGCTGTTTGATTTTCATGAGACTGGATGTGCCCATGTACAGGAGCCTAACGTGCGAGATGAAAGCCCGGCTGAAGCCTAATGACGTTGGTAGCTTGCCCAGGTACCCATGGCTCACTCGATCGAAGGCCTTCTGATCCAAGAAAAGGAGGCCTGAGTCCACGTCGTGCATTTCTGCGAGGGAGATTATATCTCCAACCGTACTGATGTTATCATATATGCACCGACCAAGGATACAATATGACTACTCTGGCCAGCACCTTGGAGAACATGTTGTAATCGGCGCACAAGAGAGGCACAGGTCGCCAGTTTTCATTG